TCAATAAATCATTGTACATTGTCTCATTCATGTCCACTTGGTAGCAGACATCTTGTCTCAATGTTTGGGCACAAAATAGTAAAATAAAAGTTGTTAATATTCTCACATACTGCTAATTGAATATTGACATATTGCATAGCAGCACTCAGCAAAGATACGTTTATTTTTTTTTAAAGAAATGAGTATTGTATTTCCTTTTTTAATGTATGAAACAAAACCACTGATGTGCATTATTGCTAACAGCCAAGGTATATTTGTTGAAGCAAACTCATTTCTTCACTTCACTATGTGAAATTAAATTGAAAATTTACTTTTACAGCATTCAAGTGTACCTTATGTGTAGAGCAATACCCAGGGATCAGTGTTTACAAATTAAGAGATGGGCGTTAAATATTTGTACAATGTAAAATGTCCATTGGCTGTAAAATGTTTATCTTGAAAACAAAGGGTAAGATCAAGACCTGAACTAGTAGTAAGAATTGTGTAATTGTAACTATGATTTCCTTCTAATTTTGCTAACTAATTTTCTAATTTTGCTAACTACATACTTCATTGACTTTATACATCCACATGACATCATTTTTCTTCAAATTTTGAGGCATTGTGTGATGCAAATGCACGCACCATAATTGACACAAAAGCTACAGAGTATCCAAGCATATTTAAAAGATTTTGTATAAAGCACTTTTAAACGTAAATCAAAAAATATGTGGCTGCCATGACTGGTTATTACAACACAAATCATGTGTTGGCTTATAGCTGTTGAAATCCCTAGCTGCTGAATGTCCTAGAAATAAAATTATATTTTTCTTTTTCTGCACTCTATGGAATTTGAGGCCAATCTCTGAGGTTAAATCACTTTTTTGACCTCAAAGATCTTTCAGCAAGTATTCATAAGAAGCTGTCTCTGGAGCCTTCCACTTTAAGGTAACAAATGATATGAACTGTGTAGCTGGTAAAAAAAAAAAAAAAAAAAAAAAAAAAAAAAAAAAAAGGGTTAGCTAATAGAATCTAATGTTATGTGAATGAGATTTTCTTTTGCCACATATTTGTTCGTCTTTCATTTTCATTATTTATAGAAATTATTATACCAAAAAATCACATAATAATATTCCATAACCTATTAATACCTTCAAAAGATGTAAGATTTTACTTAAGGTAATAACCATAGTTATTAGGGGAAACATCTCTCTCCCACAAATGATTTTTACGTAAAGAGATTTTCTTTAAATACAAATGAGTTTGAGTTGCAACTTTCACTTCCTTAGACAAAGATGATCTGAGTTCTCTGGTAAGTCAGCAATAGTATTTACATTTCTTAATTGGTCAGAATTATTTAATATAATTTATCAAGATTTCTGGATGTAGGATAAATTTGTTTCTTTATCTTTTGTTTTTCTAGATTGCTGTGAGAAGGAGCCATGTAAGTGAGTATTCTCTGCAATTGTTTTAGTTGAAATTTACAAACACTAGACTGAGAATTTAGTGAATAAGATGATTTTAACCTTAAAATCAATTTGATCAGTAATGTAGGTGATATTTGGATTCTCTGTTTTTCTTTCTTATTTATTAATTAAGGTATATTTGAGGAAATGATTTACTTCCTTTTTTTAAATTATACTTTAAGTTCTGAGATACATGTGCAGAATGACACTTGACATGGTGGTTTGCTGCACCCTTCAACCCATCATGTACATTAGGCATCTCTCCTAATGCTATCCCTCCCCTAGCCCCGCACCCTCCAACAGGCCCCAGTGTGTGATGTTCCCCACCCTGTGTCTATGTATTCTCATTGTTCAGCTCCCACTTATGAGTGAGAACATATGGTGTTTGGTTTTCTGTGTCTGTGTTAGTTTGCTGAGAATGATGGTTTCCAGCTTCATCCATGTCCCTACAAAGGACATGAACTCATCGTTTTTTATGGCTGCATAGTGTTCCATGGTGTATATGTGCCACATTTTCTTTATCCAATGTATCATTGATGGGCATTTGGGTTAGTTCCAAATCTTTGCTATTGTGAATAGCACTGCAATAAACATGTGTGCTTGTGTCTTTATAGTAGAATCATTGATAATCCTTTGGGCATATACCCGTAATGGGATTGCTGGGTCAAGTGGTATTTCTGGTTGTAGATCCTTGAGGAATTGCCACACTGTCTTCCACAAGGGTTGAACTAATTTACACTCCCATGAACAGTGTAAAAGCCTTCCTATTTCTTCAGATCCTCTCCATCATCTGTTGTTTCCTGACTCGTTAATGATTGCCATTCTAACTGGCATGAGATGGTATCTCATTGTTGTTCTGATTTGCATTTCTCTAATGACCAGTGATGATAACCTATTTTTCATATAATTTTTGGCCACATAAATGTTTTCTTCTGAGAAGTGTCTGTTCATATGTTTTGCCTACTTTTTGATGGGGTTGTTTTTTTCTTGTAAATTTGTTTAAGTTCCTTATAGATTCTGGATATTAGCCCTTTGTCAGATGGATAGATTGCAAAAATTTTGTCCCATTCTGTGGGTTGTCGATTCATGTTGATGATAGTTTCTTTTGCTTTGCAGAAGCTCTTTAGCTTAATTAGATCCCATTTGTCAATTTTGGCTTTTGCTGCCATTGCTTTTGGCATTGCAGTCATGAAGTCTTTGCCCATACCTATGTCCTGAATGAGATTGCCTAGGTTTTCTTCTAGGGTTTTTATGGTTTTAGGTCCTACATTTAAGTCTTTAATCTATCTTAAGTTTTGTATAATGTGTAAGGAAGGGGTCCAGTTTCAGTTTTCTGCATATGGCTATCCAGTTTTCCCAACACCATTTATTAAATAGGGAATCCTTTCTCCATTGCTTCTGTCAGGTTTGTCAAAGATCAGATGGTTGTAGATGTGAGGAATTATTTCTGAGGCCTCTGGTCTATTCTTCCCATTCACTGGGAATTACTTCCTATTCAATCACTGCACTTACCATAATAATAAAATGTTTACTTAATTACCCATAAATTGTTTAAAAATTTTCAATTATACAGATCTATGTCCATTTCCCTTTATGAAAACTGGGTAAAGCATTTATATTAACTGAGCTCATATTTCTTTACTTTTTTAACCAAAGTTTAGTAAAAGATGAACATCATTGTTAATTTAAATCTTACACATCTTTTTAAAAAAATAAAAAATGGCTGTCCTTAATGTACGTTTCTATAACAAAAATAATCCTGGTAAGGGTTAAGGAAAATTTGAGTCATACCTAACATACCATAAAAAATGTAACATTAGTAAAACAGATAATGAATAAACTAGAGAAAGCTGTTTGGGATTTAAATATAATTCAAATTTGTAAATGTAATAGAGTATATAATAAGTGTATGCAAACAAATGTGCATTATAATGTTAGAGCAAAAAATGTTATCAAGAATCAGCTGAGAAAGTTGAAAAGCTTCACGAATTCTGTGTGAAGGGAATTCACCTGGAATAGCACTGTACTTTTACCAAATGAAGTAAGTCAATTTCGTGAAGATTGCTAGGTGAAATGACTGATAGTGGTCAAAAAAAAAATTATCTGGTGAGTTGTATATTATTTATTTAGAGACAGAGTGTCACTATGTCTCCCAGGCTGGAGTGTAGTGGTATGATCTGGACTCACTGCAGCCTGTGCCTCCTGGAGTCAAACGATTCTCCTGTCTCAGCCTCCTGAGGAGCTGGGATTAAAGGCATGCGCCACCACGCCCGGCTAATTTTTGTATTTTTACTATTTTTAATTTTTGCATTTTAAGTTTTGTATTTCACCATGTTGGCCAGGTTGGTCTTGAACTCCTGACCCCAAGTGATCTGCCCCTCCTCAGCCTCCCAAAGTGCTGGGATTACAGGCATGAGCCATTGTGCTTTGCCAAATTATGTATTTTTAAATTGGTATGAGTAGATAAAAAATTGGATTTGTGTGTATGTTTATGTCTGTCTGTCTTCATGTGTACTACAATATAAAATGAGACTATAAAATCTGCTTGGTAATTAAAATTAAAAATTAAGGATTCAAATAAAAAGCACAAGCTATATAGTAAGAATAATTTTATAATTCTGATTTTGACTGTCATAAAGCATTATGCTAACAATATTACTACAACTGCTACTTCTACTAAGTAAACCAAGAGGTATTAAATTAGACCTATTTCTTGATGGTGACATGGTATTTTGCTATCCACCAACACTCAGTTGGGCCTATACATTACTTTGTCTAGCTGGCCTTCCAAAATTATTTATTAACCTAATCATTTTGTCTTGGTTCATATATATTATTAGAATATAGAATTATGTTCTCTATTATATTATACATTCTAATTATATATATTCTATGTATTATATTCTATATTACTAGAATACAGAATATATTAATAGAATTCAGAAACATCTTAGCGTATCCATATCCATCCTATCACAATGATGCTCACTCCCTGAAAGACCTCCTGTGCCCATGAGGTCCGGTGCATTTTGGAGTTTTTATCGTGATAATCAATGGTCTGTTCTTGAGACTGGTGTCAACGTTCAGTTCTTGGGCTGTTATACACCTATCAGTTTGTGTTGCTTTATGTGGAAAACACATACATTTGGTTTTAGAGATTACAACTCAATATTGCTGTATAATTTATCTTTCATTTGGAGGAATCAAAAATTTCAATGCATGTGTTTTCTGTATTTTACACCTGAATTGATAGTGACTTATGGAAACTGAGATGAGACTGTGGGGCCATACTTGTTTTGCTTATTATGTCAAGAAAGTATTCATTGGTGTTTAATCATTGCAAAGCATGCTGTTGTTTTGCACAGGTTGATTGTAATAAAAACAGCTTATAATAGGAAAGCAATGACTTAGCAGATAGTTGCACTGCTTTGATTATAAGAAACAATGTCCCTTGGAAAGAAGTTAAAATTATATCTAAACTTATATGTAGGAGTATGATAGGATATTAAAATGAAAGATTGAGCTGAGACAAAAATGTATTTTGAAGTGAATAGATACTATAAAAATATTTCAATATATTTTCTTTATTGAAACTTCTGAAGCTAGGTTAGGCTGAGTTACGAAATATAAAAGCCACTATTTCAGTTTTCCCTTGCTTTTAGGCATAGCCAGATGAACAGGTTCTAGTAAACGGGATGAATCAATAACTGGAATTGTGTCGCTTCTGAAAAGTGTTCTTAATGGGAAATAACTTTTTTCTCCTCATTGCTGGATTTTCAGGTTCTCACCCTGTAGACTTTTCATTTGGTCTGAAGGTCGCCGTGCATTTTGTAGGTGTTACACTGGTGGCTAGTTCCAGATGCAGATGTCATTATGATTCCAGCCAATGAGGGTTATACTACATGGACGATGGAGTAGAGAGCTGGAAGAAATACAGATCTTTGATAAACCATTGATGTAGATTAGGTACCTTGTGACAGGAGATATATCACATATTACACCCCCACTTCATGCTTCTGGGAGATTGCGGCAGTTAGTACATTTCCTTCCAGCTGGGCTGCCTTCGGAAACCGTATCAGTTTCTTTCTGTCACTGTATGCCTCTGTTTTATTCTTTTCCTTTCAGAGTTCTTTAGTCCTAATACACACTTAGGGTTTTCTTTATTCCTTCTACATTTTCTGAACTCCCCCTTCCCAGATTCTGTGGTCGAAGTAAATAATCTGGAACTTTTTGAAACACTTCCCAACAATTATTGTTGCCATTTTATATTACCCAGAAGGGTTGATTTATTCATTGGAAACTTATTTAATAAGCTAATTTTAGCTTACTAAATTTTAGTGAATTTATTAGCTGTTATTGGACAACTATACATTAGTTTCTAGATAACATTATAATGCTTAGTCTTTATGTTCATTAAAAATAAAGGTCAGATTATATAGTGTGAACATTTTAGGCCATCAGGCTTGTCAGCAGAGACAGTTAAATACCTCTCAAATTTTTACACAAAGGCGGCTACATCCTCTGCCCATGTGTATGTCCAGAATGGCTATAAAGTAGGTGCCAATTAATAAATTTAATAAATTTACAACAAGAACTATCTTGCAAACACACACACCTACACTCTTTGACCTTCACCTCAGGACAGATACCATAACTCTGTAAGTATGGAATTCTCATATTTCATGTATACACTGTCGACTGTTATTGAGGAAAAAGTCAAAGAGAACAGGTCCTTGTTTGGCAAACTAGATGACAGGATGAATACTCAGTTTACTGTGACAAAGTAGGCAGTTCTAAGATATATAGCTCCTAGCAATGCTTTGGAAAGGAAATTTTCCTTAGATGGCTCTATAGAAACTCTGTGAACAAGCTGTTATATCTTTTACAAATCTGCCAGATACTTTTTATGAGCTTCAGTTGCTCTTTATGACTATAATAAAAGGAGAGTAGGAGCCATGTGTATATCCAGTGGTCCCCGAAGCAAGCATCCTTATGCAGAAAATGTAATGAGATCGTAGGATGTTCTTTCCCTTAAGCTGCTGGATGCTCTCTTAACTCTTGTTTTGACACCATTTTGTTGTGCCTATAATAATAAAGTACATGTGAAATACGTTTCACAGATTTCAGTACTGTTAATCTAATAATTGGCAACATAGTATGTCCACTATCAACAAAGAACACACAAATCAATAAGGAAATGAAAATTTTAAATAATTCAAACATTCTATTTGATAGACACCTTGTCATTTAGATATATATTTGTTAACAGTGCAATGCAATTATATTTTAAAATAACTTATACCATTAAGCATAAATTTGCTATAATTATTAAAGGACAGATAAAATACCTTTATATAAAAATATCAACTCATTTTATAGCAGTGATAGATTTCTAAATTTGTACCTTAAATTCTACATCAATGTAGATATTCTTTCATAATATTAACCTCTCATATTCTTTTTACCAAACTATAGTTTGCCATTTAAAAAGTAGATATAAACAATTTCAAAAAAGTATGTTTCATAGTCACTATATGTCATAATATATTGTTCACAATAACATGTAAGAACTATGTTGAGTTTTAATTCCAAAAATTGGCATGATTAGTTTAAAACATATTTTAGGTACAATGTGTCTTAAGTGACTAATATTTCTTTGACATCGTCTTCTTATAGAATGATGTTTTGGTGTAATGCAAATGAACATGTAAGAATTCAGTGCATCTTACTCAAAGCTATTTCTTTCTCTTCTGAGGTCAGCACAATGGTGTTTATTTCTCTCTACCTATGTCTTCATTTTTCATAAAATAAAATCTAAGCATAACAATTGATATAAAAGTAACTCTGTAGCATCCTGGTCTCCCTTGGTACTGAACTCCTATCAGTTTGAACCGTACATTATACTTCATCATTAAACAAATTTTAAATCCGCATAGAAAAGTTTTGCCTCCTTGTTCACCTTAGCTACAGCTATTTTCTTGTCTTTGTCTTTATCTTTCATAGTTTTAAGATTTAATTTTGACATCACTTTTTAATCTAAAGTTGTTGGTGACTTCGTTTTGAGTGCAGTGTCCTGAGCACATTATTTTTTCTTGTTGCTCTTACGTCTATACAATTAGTGCTTTTACATTATTGGATACATAAATATTGACCCAATTCATCCAACATCACCCTTGCCAAAAATAAACAGCATTTATTTTGCTTTTCTGCCTTTTCACTATCTGTTGATTTTACATAGAAGCCCTCTTCATTCTCTACATTTTTCTTCATCTTATTCGTCATTTGGATCTTATCTCCTCTATCAACACTTCATCAGTGTCCAAGATTTTTCTAACTCTTCATTCTTCTGTACTACTACATTTATTACCGGTTATGCTTTTCATCTGGCAGTTTGAATGTTCTTCATGTTGTCATTAGTGTTGTTAGTTGCTTAAAAAAAAAGTGTCCTGCATCCTCAACTAGGTTGAAAACCCTGAAGAAAGAACTGGCTCTTAACATGAGTTGACGGTTGATCTGGGAATGTTCTTAGGTAGACCCATGAATCTTTTGAAATTATAGATAAGACAATGTCTTTATGTACATTTCTATTTATACTTTTTTTTTTTGCAAAAACATAGCATCTAAGTCTTTACCAATTTAACAAAGGCATTCATGTGTAAAATCCATTGATCTAAAATAATAAAAATCATAGGTTGCACTTTTTTCTTCCATAAGGCACGTAAGTCAAAAGTCCTTAATAATTTCCCAAACTTTAGGCTCTTAGTTGGAATCCCTGGAGTGATATTCCCAGAAGTATAGAAAAACCAGAGTCAGACAACGACTAACAAACAAATGCAATCAAGCAATAAGTTAGCTCAAATCCATATTGGTCCTGTCTCCTATTGGGTTGTATTGCTTATATATTTTTTTAAGAATTATTTTACACATTTTATTTTCTCATGAGATATGTTACAGATTTTGTAAAATATATATGTATACTTTAAGAAATAGTTATGAAGAGAATATCCACGTAAGTACCATGAAGCTCGAGATCTGGATAATCGCCTGCAAAACAGAAGCACCCTGGAAGACCCTCCATACATAAATATTCTTTTCTCCTAGAGATATTCTTCCTAAATCTACATATATTAACACATAAACATTAAGATATGCCATGATTGCCAAAAGAAAGATTACTGTTGGGAAAAATACTATTCATGGGCCTCTCATGTTTCTGCATGTTATTCATTCAGAATCATAAACTCCATTTTTTCCTACTATCTTTTCAAAACTGTTGCTGATTATATTAATATAATAAACACCCCATGTAAAATTTATCCTATGTAATAAAATAATGTCTCTTTCTCAGGCAAGGGTTAGACAGCCTAATCTTTGCATAGTATAAAGTCTGTGTTCCCCAAGTCAGCATTCTTGAAACTGTGGCAGGCTAACTGGAGAGCTGACATTTAAAATAAAATTTCAGACCCTTTAGAATTATTGACAATTCCACCTTATAAAGATATTAAGTCTCCACAAATTTTTATGTATATGCAATATAATTCCAATAATATAAAATATTTTTGTTGAATGTGACAAAGGTATTCATATATTATATGCATATAAATGAAAAGAGAGAGTCTATTAGGCAGAATATTTCTAAAGGAAAACAAGGTGAAATGAGAATCTATAAGATAGTATAACTTTTTATATAGCTAAAGTGATTAAGAAAATGTGGAATTGGTACAAGCATTTGGAAATCCATGTTGGAACAGAAAAGAGAACCACAAAATAGACCTATAGTTACATGGACCCCTGATATATCAGAGATATGTTGTGGTAGATAAATAAGGAAAGAACAAATATTTTAATAAATTGAGATACCACATTGCCATGTCTATATACAAATAAAATTGAATTCCTATACAATATCATTTCCAAAAAAGTATACATAGAAATGTACATAATGCTTCTTTGATAAAAATATAAAGATTTTAAGCAGTTGGTGTACCGAAATATTATCATGAACTTCTCTGGAGTTGAAAAGAGTTTTTAGGACATGCCCAAGATGGCTGAATAGGAACAGCTCCAGCCTCCAGCTCCCAGCATGAGTGACACAGAAGACAGGTGATTTCTGCATTTTCAACTGAAGTGCAGACCGACACCTCACACCTCACAGGGTGGGCTACACCCCCGAGACAAAGCTTCCAGAGTGAGAATCAGACAGCAACACTCGCTGTTCAGCAATATTCTATCTTCTGCAGCCTCCGCTGCTGATACCCAGGCAAACACAGTCTGGAATGGACCTCAAGCAAACTCCAACAGACCTACAGCTGAGGGTCCTGACTGAAGGAAAACTAACAAACAGAAAGGACACCCACACCAAAACCCCATCAGTACATCACCATCATCGAAGACCAAAGGCAGATAGTACCACAAAGATGGGGAAAAATGCAGCTCATCGCCAGCAACGGAACAAAGCTGGATGGAGAATGACTTTGACGATTTGAGAGAAGAAAGCTTCAGTCGATCAAACTTCTCAGAGCTAAAGAAGGAACTACGTAACGAGTGCAAAGAAACTAAAAACCTTGAAAAAAGAATGGATGAATGGATAACTAGAATAATCAATGCAAAGAGGACCTTAAAATAACTGATAGAGATGAAAACCATAACACAAGAAATACATGACAAATGCACAAGCTTTAGTAACCGACTTGATCAACTGGAGGAAAGAGTACCAGTGATTGAAGATCAAATGAATGAAATGAAGCGAGAAGAGAAGTGTGGAGAAAAAAAGAGTAAAAAGAAATGAACACAGCCTCCAAGAAGTATAGGATTATGGGAAAAGACCAAATCTACATCTGATTGGTGTGCCTGCAAGTAACAGGGAAAATGGAACCAAGTTGGAAAACACTCTGCAGGATATCATCCAGGAGAATTTCCCCA